GAAGGTGCGGGAAGGGAAGGTGCGGGAAGGGAAGGGAAGGGAAGGGAAGGGAAGGGAAGGGAAGGGAAGGTGCGGGAAGGGAAGGTGCGGGAAGGTGCGGGAAGGTGCGGGAAGGGAAGGGCAGCACTCACTGATGGGCTCCTCGGGGTGGAAGGCCAGCTCGTTGACGGAGCCGGCGTGGCCAGGCAGTTTGTACAGGATCCTCCTGGACGTGGTGTCCCACACGTACACGAACCTGAGACACAGCCAGGGCAGGAAATGACCCCCTGAGCCCAGGGCAGCTCTGCAATCATCCCTGGCTGCAAAAACACAACCCTGGGCACAAAAATGCTGCTCTGGCTGGCACAGGACTGCAGAGGGCTGAGCATGGAGGAGCCAACAGCAAAAATAAATAATCAGGTAATACTAAAATAGTAAATAAATAAATAATAAAAGTAATAAAAATGTTAATAAATATGTTACAATATTTAAGTAAATAGTAGAAATAATTTAAATATTAAAATTTATGTATTAAATAATATAGAGAATATATTTAATATACTATATATATTAAACAATATAGATAATATATTTAACATTAATATATGTTAAATATTTAAATAAATATTTAAATAATATTATAATATATAATACAATATTATAATATCATATTATTTTATCATATTATTATAATATCATGACATATTACAATATTTAAAAATAGTAGAAATACTAATTTAAATATTAGAATATTACATTAAATATTATATATAACATATTTAATATATTTGTATATTAAACAAGATAATATATTTAACATATTAATATGTTAAATATTAAATTAAATATTTTATTTAATATTTATATTCTATATTATTTATTACTATATATTTATATATTATTTATTTATATATTTATGTAGTAATTATTATATCTATTTATTAATATTTATTATAATATTTACATATACAAATAATATAATATATAACACAATATTATAATATTATAAGTATTATAATTAATATTATATTATGATCGAATAAATAAAATAATAAAATAAATCAAACAATAAAAATAAAACAATAAAGGTTAAAATAAAATATAAAACAAAAATAAAAAATGGAGATAATAAAATATCTCCAACACAGACCCAGCACAGAAGGAGAGAGCAATCACTGGGGGAATGTTTGGTACCCCAAAACAAAATGTTTGTTTAATCTTGCTTTGCTTTTCCTGCAGATACTCCTAAAAAAAACCCCTCAAAACCCTAAAAATAATAACAAAATAACCAACACCAGCTCTGCCAGGCTGGATCCTGCCCCACTCCGTGCCCAGCAGGGCTGGGAGCAGAGGACAGGGAGAGCTGCAGTTCTGCCCCTCTGCTGCCACAAACTCCTGCAGCTGCTGCTCACTGCTGCTCCATGCCCTGGCCTGCAGGAATTCCTGCTTCCCTGACACTGGATTTGGGCCTGGATTTGCTCCAGGGGACGTTGGTGTCCTTCACAGGGGACATCAGGCCCTGTTGTGCTTCCTCTGCTTCCCTTCTCGCTCCTCTTTACAAATCTTTTATTTATCTTTGAATCTCTTTCCGATTGCTTTATTGCTAACTGATCCTTATTTCTCCTTAATTAGGAGTCATTAATGATCCCTGGGACCCCACCATGCAGGGATTTAGCTGGGATTTGTGCTCCTCATCCTCAGAGACCCTCCCAAGCTTCTGCCAGGGGTGCCACCAGGGCAGGAATGTCCCTGTCACCTGCTGGGGATGCCCTGGTGGGACAGGGCAGATCCTCAGCCAGCTTTTGTCAATAACAACCAGATTTTACAACACTCAGAAACCAGGAAAACTCCCTGAGGGCTGTCTGGGATTTCACACCTTCACACACAGCCCCGAGGGTGCAGGAATTCCGATGCAGGGATGCTGCAAATCCATCCTGGATTGATGGGGACAGAGGAAAGGCAGGGGCAACTCACCTGTCAGCAGAGCCCCCTGCAATTTTACTGCCATCTGGGGACCAGGAGCACCTCAGGAGGTTCTAAAACAGAAGAACATGCACAGATCTATTTAGTTTCCCCCTTCTCCTTGAATTAAAATCGCCACGAGACTTTAGCCAGCACCACTTTAATGATCTCCCTTGGAAGATGAGATGGTAATTACAGATTTTATTTTATTGCTGGAAACAGCCAGTGCCTTGTTATTTTACACAAAGTAGATGGTAAGTGTGGAAAATACTTAATTTACAGCTAATTACAGCTGAACTGAGCAAAGAAATCTTGTTACTGAGGCTTTAATTGGAATCCCACTTTGAGTGTTCATCTTTCTTTGAGTTCTTATTAAAGCCTTTCCGGCCTAAACTTGAAAAAAAAAAAACAATTTAGAGGAAAGTTAATAGCAGGGAGAATTGAACAAGGACTGGAGCACACTCACCTTTTCAAAATTATGGACATTTCCCTGGAAAATCTTCACACATCTCTCCTTGGGGGCGAAGGGCCTCACGTCCCAGATCCGAACTGCGAGAGACAGAGGCAGCAGCTGAGGGGGACAGGGAAGGGACAGCCCTGGCCAAGCCCCCTGCCCAGGACAGGCTCCCTGATCCCTCATTGCCCCAGGGCCACAGGGAACAGTGGCTTTCACTGCAGGAGGCAAATCCCAAACCTGACATCCCACAAATGAGCCACCACCTCCCTACAGGAGGGTTTTCCTCATCCTGACACATCCCATGGGCACGGTCCTGATGGGCTCAGCCTCACTGAGGGACACTGGGACAGGCAGGGGGACAGCTGGGCTGTCAGGGGACATGGCCAAGCCACCCTGACACGAGCCTGAGTGCGTGAAAACCTGTCCCCCAGTGTCCTCCAGGATAACCTGTGTCCTGCCTCCGGTCCCCAATGTCCTGGCTCCTGTCACCAGTGTCCTGCAGGAAACCCTGTCCCCAGTGTCCTGCCTCCTGTCCCCAGTGTCCTGGCTCCTGTCACCAGTGTCCTGGCTCCTGTCACCAGTGTCCTGCAGGATTACCTGTCCCCAGTGTCTTGCAGGAAAACCTGTCACCAGTGTCCTGCAGGATAACCAGTGTCCTGGCTCCTGTCCCCAGTGTCCTGCCTCCAGTCCCCAGTGCCCTGGCTCCTGTCCCCAGTGTCCTGGCTCCTGTCCCCAGTGTCCTGGCTCCTGTCCCCAATGTCCTGGCTCCTGTCCCCAGTGTCCTGCAGGAGCTGGTTCAAGCCCCCGAGGCAGCTGCTCCCCCCTCAAGGACACAAACTCCCGGTTTAGCTCTGGAGCCAGACTCCCTGCAGCCCAGCCCGCCCCAGGGCTGTTTCCCAGGACAAACACCTGGAGGAGCCCCTGGGAGCCCCAGCAGGCTGTACCTGTGTTGTCCATGGCGTTGGAGAGCAGGTAGGAGCCCTCGGAGCTGAGGCTCAGCCCCGTCACCGAGTCGGCGTGGCCCCGCATGGTGTAGGTGAGCTTGTTCTGCCGCAGGTCCCACACCTGAGAAATGCAACAAACACAGTCAGGAATGCAGCAGCTGCAGCCCCCAGAGCATCCCACACAGCCACTGATCCATCTGCTGCTGCAATCACCCGTGCAGCTGCCATGGAGGGGCTGCAGCTTGATGGGAGTTACAGGAAAATGGGATTTGTGACTTAGATTTGTACCTGGATGTGCTCAGCCCCCAGGGAGTTACAGGGCAGCAGCCCCACACATGCAGGGAATGGTTTCAGATTGGAAAAGGGGAGATTGGGGTGGGATCTTGGGCAGGAATTGTTCCCTGGGAGGGTGGGGAGGGGCTGGGCTGGAATTGCCAGAGCAGCTGTGGCTGTCCCTGGATCCCTGGCAGTGCCCAAGGCCAGGCTGGACATTGGGGCTGGAGCAGCCTGGGGACAGTGGGGGTGACCCTGGGGACAGTGGGGGTGACCCTGCCATGGTGGAGTGGGATGATCTTTCAGGTCCCTTTCCATCCAACCCATTCCATGATTCCATGAACACATGAGGCTGGAAGTTTATGGGTGTTCTAAGTGAATGTGTTCAACCCTCCAAGGAGTTAAATGTCAGCAGCCCCATGGCTGCAGAATTCCTCATGAACTGGCCACAAAATCCCCCAAATTCCCCTGGCTGGGGACAGCCCTGGTGGCAGGGACAGGCTGGGGACAGGCTGAGCTCACTCCCAAACAAGAACTTCCCGCAGCAGCAGGTGCCAGGCTGAGCTGCAAACGGGGCACAGGGGGATGTGACATTCTCTCCAGTCTCCCTCACCCACGGCTCATCACAGCACTCCACACTGGCAGTGCTGGCACCCCGGGGATGCCAGGCTGGCACTGCCACCTCCCTGACACTTTGTTGTCCCTGCAGCACCAGCAGGGACAGACACAGCAGATCCAGGGAGGGTTTGGGGTGTGAAACTCAGCGTGGCTGTCCCTGAGCAGCGCAGGGTGTGACAGGATGGGACAGGTGGGCACAGCGGGGAAGGGACACAGGATCCCACCTTGATGTCATTGTCGATGCCACCAGAGATGATCTGGTCACTGGTGTCATTGAAGGTGACAGCCAGCACCTGGTAGGTGTTCTGGAATGTCTGGACTGCAGCTTTTTTCCTGATATCCCACAGCTGGAAAGAAACGCGGCGTAGTTAAGAGGTGGGCACAGATATTGAACAACAAAATCACAGGGAGCTGCAGAGATACTGGCAGAGGTTCAGACTGCTCTCCCAAAATCCCTTTGTGGATCTCAGGAGATCATTATAAAAACATCCAGTCTGGAAATCTTCATAAAAAACATTAAATCTGCTGTGTTTGCAGCACAGGAATGAAGGCAGGGAAGAAGGGGCCAGCTCAGATTTCAGGAGAGGGAAAAAGAAGCCAGCACAGGAGATTTTAGGAAAGAGAAGAAGGGGCCAGCTCAGATTTCAGGAATAGTTTCCTCATTATTTGCTAATCCAGAGAAGCAGAAAAATCCCAGCTGAGCAGCTCAACCCTCTGAGAATCACAGAATAAAGGAGCAGTGAAATTTGATGTCACATTCTTGACTCCGAACTCAGAGCGATGACACAAATAAAAAACCCAAATTCAGCCCAGATAAATGTGAAGATCCCCAAAGCTTTTCCACCTTTTTTTTCCCCCCCCAAGGTTTTCCCCAGGCTGACCTTGACGGTGCCATCGTCGCTGCCGGTGCAGACGAGCTGGGGTCCCCTCCTGGCCGGGTAGCAGGAGTTGACAAAGGACGTGTGGCCCTTGAGCCTCTTCACCCTCTCGCCCGTCTCGCTGTCCCACACGGCCACGGTTTTGTCCGTGGATGCTGAGAACAGCATGCTGCAGGGGACAGGCAGCGTCAGGGCCCGGCTCCCTGCACATCCCTCACCCAGGGGTAACAGGGGGGGAAGGACCACCCCTGTCTGGTGGTTTGGAGGAGCAGCTGAATGGACAAACCCCCATCTAAGCCCTGCTAGAAATTGTTTTCCTGCCTCCTCGAGCAGCAAGGCTCAGCAGCAATGGTGGGACAGAATTTTGAACGAAGCAGCATCTCACGTGTTCTCTCGCATCCCAGTGACTCCCAAAACTTCCCTCTGTTCCCCAAAAATGCATCAAGGGCTCACAGGTGCCTCCAGAGCTTTTGCCCACGCTGGAAAAGCCACAGTACAAGGACTTGGGGTCCATGGACTGAGCAAGGGCAACAATCCCAGAATTGTTTAGGTTGGAAAAGAGCTCCAGGAGCATCCAGTCCTGGATGTGACTGATCCCCACCGTGTCCCCAGCCCAGAGCCCTGAGTGCCACATCCAGGAATTCCCTGGGCACCTCCAGGGCTGGGCACTCCAACCCTCCCTGGGCACTTCCAAGGCCTGATCCCCTTTCCATGGGGAAATTCCTGCTGCTGTCCCCCCTGAGCTCCCCAGGCCCAGCCTGGGGCCGTTCCCTCTCCTCCTGTCCCTGTTCCTGGCAGCAGAGCACGATCCCCCCGGCTGTCCCCTCCTGCCAGGGACTTGTGCAGAGCCAGAAATTCCCCCTGAGCCTCCTTTGCTCCAGCCTGAGCCCCTTCCCAACTCCCTCAGGGATTCTCCAGCCCCTTCCCAGCTCCCTCAGGGATTCCCCAGCCCCTTCCCAGCTCCCTCAGCAATTCTCCAGCCCCTTCCCAGCTCCCTCAGGGATTCTCCAGCCCCTTCCCAGCTCTCTCAGGGATTCTCCAGCCCTTCCCCAGCTCCCTCAGCCCCTCCTGGGGCTCCAGCCCCATTCCCCGAGGTTCAGAGGTGTCTCTGAGCAGCAGGAAGGCTCTCTCTCTCACCTGCCATCCGTGTTGTAGTGCAGCTCCATGACGGCCCCGCTGTGCCCCTTGAGGGTGGCGAAGTTGTCACAGTCCCCGTAGACGTTCCAGAGCACTGGGGGACAGCAAGGGGGGAGCTGAGCACGGGAAATGCACGGGAACAGCTCCCTGCTGGGTGTGGAGCTGAGCTTTGGGACTGCAGCAGGGAGGGATGGACCAGCCCCGCCGCTGAGACCCCCCTGGGATGATTCACAGCGTGAGCCCCGGGGCAGAGCTGGTTCAGGCTCTTGTTTAACGTGGATTTATTAATAAAACAGATAATCTTTGCTTCATCAACCCAGCATTTCTGCAGAGCTCTGCGTGAGGGGGACGCAGGGCTGTGCCCAGCAGGACACATTTCCAGGATGGGACCTGCCAGAGGAGCTGGGCAAAGCTCCCTGCACCCCCCGGGGATGAAATTCACCCCCAGGAGGCAGCCAGGTGAGGGCTGAGCCGAAACCCCTGAGCAGCCCCGTGTGGGGACAGCAGGGGACAGCGGTGGCACTCACAGATGAGCCTGTCGAAGCCAGCCGAGGCCAGGGTGTTGCCATTGGGGTGGAACTTGCAGCAGTACACCTCCCCCTCGTGTCCTGACAGCAGCATGATGGGGGCCTGCAGCGAGGAGCAGCGCGGGGGGCCCTGGGGACACGGGACACGCCGTGAGGGGACAGGGGACAAGGCCAGCCTGCCACCCCTGCCACATCCTGACCTTCCCAGAGCACATCCCACCACAATTCCAGAATCTCAGGATCACTGAGGTTGGAAAAGAGCTCCAGGAGCATCCAGTCCTGGCTGTGACTGATGCCCACCTTGTGCCCAGCCCAGAGCTCTGAGTGCTTTCCTTGGGCACCTCCAGGGCTGGGCACTCCAAACCTCCCTGGGCAGCCCCTGCCAAGCCCTGATCCCCTTTCCATGGGGAAATTCCTGCTGCTGTCCCCCCTGAGCTCCCCTGGCCCAGCCTGAGGCCGTTCCCTCTCCTCCTGTCCCTGTTCCTGGCAGCAGAGCCCGATCCCCCCGGCTGTCCCCTCCTGCCAGGGACTTGTGCAGAGCCAGAAATTCCCCCTGAGCCTCCTTTGCTCCAGCCTGAGCCCCTTCCCAGCTCCCTCAGGAATTCTCCAGCCCCTTCCCAGCTCCCTCAGGAATTCTCCAGCCCCTTCCCAGCTCCCTCAGGAATTCTCCAGCCCCTTCCCAGCTCCCTCAGGAATTCTCCAGCCCTG